AGTCAAAATTTGAAAACCTTTTTTTTTTTTCTCCTGAAGTTATTGGTAATTTAAACTTGTCATCTGAATAGATAGCGTTACAGCCTCATGGAGTAGGCGAGAAATGTCCTTATAGTGATGTTCCAGTCTTAGATGAAGCATTAATGTGAAATATGTCCAAGTCAGGGTCCCAAAGTAGATCAGGGATGTAAAAGCATATGATGAAAAAAAGATTACAGGGTCTGTAAAGAATTACTGAAGAATTTGTATTATTTTGCTTAGAGTAGATAAATTTGAGGGTGTACTAACTGCCTGAGGACATTTTATAAGACTAACAACCACAGCGGGGATTTTCCTTTTAACATATCTGCAGGTGAGCCAGCAGCTTTTCTCAGAGCCTACAGATTGATTTCTCAATAAAAGCCCTATCTGGCTTGAGGTGTCTGGGGATCTGAATTCATTCATTCATTCATTCATTCATTCATAGACATTGCTTGTTACTTTCTCACTGGAAAGGAAACAAGGGAAACTGCCTTTAGTACTAAAAAACTAAAAAGTAAGGACCAATACCACCTGTGCCAGAGATTATTGGTAGGTCTTCCCCCTGGTCTTTCATATAAAAATATTTCTCTCCTTAAACACTTATTTGAAGACACAGACAAGCTGGATCTCTGTGGCTCTAGGTGTCTTTTGAAGTTCAGAATAAATCATGATTTTTAAAGAAATGTCATGGTTCAGTTGTCCTCACATGCCTTCAGCTTTGAGCTTATTTCCTTTGACTTTCCAAGTAACCTAAATGGGCATGGGCATCTAAAAATACCTGGAATTAAAATAAGCACACCATTTCACCAAAAGATAGCCAAGGAAGAAAAAAAAATCAGTCTTCGTATTTAAGTCAGTTAATTCTTTTTTAATAAATTTGAATTCATTCATCAACAAGTTTCATATTGTATCTATCACTCAATTTTGCTGTTTTTTTAAATGTCAAATAATACCAAAAAATTACATCAATGTGCTTAAGCAAAATTGGGTTTTAATTTTTCTTTACAATGAAATGAAATCAACATGGGAATTGGTCATGACAGCAATCGCCTATTCCTACTAGAATAATCCTGTACTTACCTTGAACACATTCACTGACTTGTGAAGTAGAAATATGAGACAAGAATGATAAAACGTGTTTATGGAGCTCATCCTAGGGAGAGGCATGTTGTGTGAGCCACTCTCTGGGAGGTCACTATTTACCCAGGTGTTGGGAATTGAGTATTTCGGAAAACATGGCACCTTTCAATGCAGTAGAAGAGGTAATCAATCCAAGGCACACTAGCTAGTGTCCTGGGAAAATTTAATCCACCTGGGCAGCTCTTTGCCCCACGATTCATTGTTACTCTGACTGATGGCTCACATAAGATGAGAGCCAGAGTCAATTCCATGAGTAACAAATAGTTCACCCATTGTTCAGTTTTGCTTACATAAAAATGGCCAGAAATACAGACTTGTTTTCAGGTGGAGCATTAAGTAAGAATTATGAGATGGTTCATAATTTCAAGCCCGGAGATTCAAAGTTAGACATGTTCTCTTTAATCAAACACACCATGTGGGACTAACACCAGTGGGGTTATCTACTAGATGCTGAAAATGAACACCTACAGCTGCGACGTGCCTGTCCCCTTAAAACCAGTCCCAAACGTGTGTGGCATCTTGTCTGAGATAGCTCCTAGGTGAAAATGTTAATTCCAAAGCTGCACAGGGGAAAAGTGCCTTTAATCTGAATGACTGAATATGTCAAAAATTCTGGGTGCTGGCATTAAAAACACATGATACTGCAGACGTACATGTAATCTTCAAACCTAACAGGAATATTATCATGACATACTTTCTACTTCATTTATGATTCAGGGGGAAATGAACGTCTCATGGTATAGACAGTGAAACCCCTCTACAGTCCTGGGGTCGGTGAACAAGAAGAACACTTGTTTATAAGATTACTCAACTCTTATCAGTCTTTCTCTGTAAGGATTTATGTAGTAGGGCTCTTGAGTTGTCTCAAGTATATCTGAATATGGGTAATAACCAACTGTCAGAGCAAGATTCTTCTGTACATTTGAGCCCCTGTGAAGCATTTTGGAAAGACAGGACTACATAGAAAATTAACTTTTTATTATGTTCAGTTGTTGAGAAAGAAATATCATTATATCCAAATTCAACTTTTCTTTCCTTACTCAAGATGTCTGGACGTGGGTAAAAGCCACCTCACATTAGTGTCAGAGGCCTGGGTTCAGAATTCATCAATATGGCTCGCTCACTGGCTCTAGTAACTACTGTGGAGTAATGAGAGGTCATTATAACAGAACAGAGAACCAAATTCAACTCTCTTCTGTCAGCACAGAGTTCTGCTTCTCAATATTTCTCACAACTTTTAAAAATGGAGAAGCTATAAAATAATTTTATTAGAAGAAGAGTAATTTTCTTCTGAAATGGAGTAAAGCAAACACATACCCAAGAATCTCAAAAAGTTGTTTTTTTTTTTACAGAATATACGTATGTATTTGTGTGTGTGTGTGTGTGTGTGTGTGTGTGTATGTGTGTAGTTACAAACACTATTTATAGTATAGCTATTATGTTAACTTCATCGCAGTGTCTACAAAGTTGTGGATCCCAGTCTTGGTGCCAAATGCATATAAAAAGCTCAAAAGCTATTATGACTATACCATGCAAATTTATATCCAGAAAACCTTGGTAAGCAGACTGCAACTCTTCTGAGCCCCATGGGGTCTCTGCCTTTGATAGTTGGGTACCTCAACTATGCATCAAAAAATGTTTTGAATCATTTTTCTCCCAGAAAGAATTAATGTCACAGTTCTGAAAAGTATAAATTGTACACTTAAATCGGTCACTGACAGTTTTATCCATGTTCATTTGCATTTTGGGGTCCCTCTTCTGCATGTGGAGCTCACTCCTTGAATCACTGGATACAGAAAAATATACCTGAAGTATTGAAAGGGATAAGGTCTTCACAAACGTCTTTTTTTTTTCTTTAACATGTTAACAATGATAAGGCCACTTACAAGGTTTTTCCCAATCTCTTTTAACTTTTAGGATCCCTCATTGTTACCCATGGAAAAAAAAAAAAATGTCAGAGAAAAGCCCAAGACCAAGAAATCACTGGCTAATCTCCAGATAAAAAATAAAACCAGAGAGGAGCAGGTGGAAGAAGATGTTGAAGAAAGCTCGGAATGAAGGAGGGGAAAGGGTATAAAACTGGGCATTGCTTCTAGCATGAGATGTTGTGGGTTATATTTTACCAGACATTGCATCTTGAACTGTGACAGACTCCCACAAATTAAAGGTTGTCATGGCCGCCAAAGAAAAATCAAGTAGTGGTCAGCTTACGGTGATAGCCCACACCACGTGCATACTCAGGGAAGGTGGTGCCTCTATCTACCCAGAGAAAACTGGTGTCAGCTAATAGAGTACTGGAAGAGATTTTGGTCATTGGTTTAGGACAGAACAAAGAGGGTGAGGCATATGTGGCATGTTGGGATAAAGTATTAATTTAGCAGTTCTTTCCTGAATATTTTGCTTTTTTTTTTTTTTCCCCTCCAAATGCTTAACTTCACTGTGACATCTGTTTGCACAACTGTAGTCATTTCAGTTTATGGAGGCCTGTGATAGAAATATTGTTTACAAAAAATATATCATCTTTTTTTTCTTTAGAAAGATCTCATCTAAATAGTAAGTTAAGGTTGCGTCTATGAAACCGGTGCACCTTGTCTTGTTTCTACGAGCTTTAAAAAGTCCAAATACTTGATGAGGCTGTGGATCAGAAGGAACCAAAAGTGACTGTGTTTGTTGTCAGGTTGCTCTCCTTTGCCTCAAGAGAACGGTCATGAGTCACTGGGTGATGTGTGGTGTGTACTGGTCATATTCCTGCAGCATCCTAGCTAGACTAGGAGTAGTTCGATGTGCTTATGAAATATGTCAGATACAGAAATAAAGGTATGAAGATGTTTCGTGGTTTCTGAAATTGAACAGTAGAAGTGTTTTAAGCCTCAATCTTAATTCTAGGTAACAGAAGTAGTTACATCACGTAAAGGAAAATATGACATCGCATGCTGCCATGATAGCAAGCATTAAGAAAGGAAATTTTGGTAAATATACATATATATGCATATTACGCAAATATATTTTCTATCAACATACAATGTTATAAGAGTGATTGATAACGTAAAGACAAGGGGGAAAATCATCCTAGATGGTTTTACCTTAGAGTAACAAATAACCTGAGACGTCTATGCTTTCTGTTAGATATCAGGCCTAGAAATCCATACGAGATGTGGAGCACATTTTCAGTGATTGAAATGTCGACTAAACATTGCCAAAACATGCCACTGTGTTCCTGCATGACAGGTAAGCTGGATCCACTCCAAGTAAACAAAAGAATACACTGTACATCAGAGTACTTACAATAAGATGCCATCCATTTCCGATGGGTTTTCAAAAGATGGGCATTCAGACATCAGCTTGGGATCTATCTGTGTTTAAGACAACAGGTGAGCACACACCCGTGGCTCACTTCATCCACTAAACCAGTACAGAAAAAGTATGCCCGATGAAAGTAAACCCCATCACCAAATAAGCTGAAAAGCCTTCACTTAGTAAACAGAAAGGATATGAAGTGTGTGACTCATTTTAACCTAGCAATATCACTGTATGAGTTTTTGAAGTTTAACTAAGAGTTTCTTTCTGATTTTTAAACTAAAACATCTAACTTATGATAATAAAAGACACATTTTGGGATGATACTGTGTTTCACGCCCTCATTCTCAAGGCATAATATTTAGACGATGCTTGTCCCTTTCAATTAAAAAAGAAAAAACTATGACTTTCTTTAATATGCATCCTGTGTTAAATTGTCCATAGCTGCAAAATGTATATATGTATGTGTATTTGTTCGGCATACACGTGGGTACTCATACCCATGTGTATAAACATAAACACATACATCCTCATATACACGTGTATTTTATATATATGCTGAGAAAGTTCACATATATATACAATTGCGTATGTATATATGTGTGTCTGCGTGTGTGTGTCTGTGTGTGTATACAGGTATAAAAACTTGACAGGCAGAGTAATATTTCACTCAGTGTTAAATGAAGTCTTTGAAAAATCAAGTACAGTCACTCAGTTAACATAGTACAGCCAGTAAACTAAGTTGAAAAGAGAAAAAGTGAATGGAAACACGATCCTGGACCATCTGTCTATGGCATTCACATCGGTTAGATCAGGGATTTTAATTTTGAGCTGTGAAGACCTCCTCCGTAGATGGGTCTTCTTGTGCGGGATGCTTCTGTCCCCCATGTGTCGCCCATGCCCTTCCCTAGGCATGCTCTGTTTCCTGTACTGGATTCCTGAGTTGTCAAAGGGTCTTGCTGAATTCCTGGTATCACCAACACCGCCCGTGACCTCATTCATTTCATTGTGAACCTCCAGCGATGTTAACAGAATACTTCCATGAGCATCCACCTAATTGAAGAAAATACACATCGTTAGACAGTTAGCATGCCAGTAAATCTAATTTTCATATACAAACCCAGCAAGACTTATACCATGCAATCATGTCACATACATTATGAGAAATTGCACATCTGTCAAACCTAGCACTGTTTTCATGGAAAACGTCATTTTGAAGGCTTAACTACAGTTTAGAGATTTTATTTCCTTGATTTAAAAATTCTCACATAGGAGGTTAGATTAAATAAAGGGGGCTCTTCAAATTGAAATTTCCTATTATGGATACAAATTCTTACTAAAGACAAAAAGTACAAATTCATTTTAAGATGTTAACTTAGGTGTCTTCACCATTTTTCATAACTGGACACTGGATGGAAACTATACTTTCTCAATCTTCTTTAGAAATCAGCTTGTCCCCTTTTCTGACTATACAAAAATACTCACATTACCATGGAGAAACAAGCAAATATTCCTATGATGAATGGACACTCCTGATGACTTTGATGGGGGTAGATACAGACTCCTACCCAACTATGATCTCCTTACCCAATCCTGGTCCTGGCAGGAGGCCTCTTTTTTAAGATTTATATTTATGATAGACTAAAGCCCCCCCCCCCTCCCCGCTCACATTGGAGCCAAACTTAAACATTTTATTCTGTGGCAAATAAAGCTTCAGACTTTTCATGATGATGTCAATGGTCCATTTGTTTATTTGTTGGTCTGCCCTGAAATTTCCACAGAGCATACCTGAGGCTAGGGGTCCTCAATGGGGTCCTTTCTAAAGGGTCTGTCATCCCCTCTCTGAGCAATGCCAATCCGTCTCAGGGGCACATGGCCCATTCCATAGTCCCCTCGGTCTCACAGCTCTCCAGCATGCTTTATGTTCCCCCAGCTGTCTTCATTCCTTTGCTAGAGGGCCATCTTCCTTGTCCTATCTCTGTCTGTGCAAGCCCTACCCTTTCTTCTAGAACTAGATTAAGTGTCTTTGGTTTCTTCCATGGAACTTTCACAAAATTAATTATTGTGTGGAGCAATAATGTATTAGTACATATTAATTTGCACATTCCCATCTTCTGTATACTTTTTAGTTTCATTAAAGGCATTGTGCTAGATATGGAGGAGGTGAAGTATGGAGAGACGATTCCCAACTAAGAAGAGGCAGGTGCCTATGCAGACTTCCAAGCAGTACCAAGACCACAGGTGGGGTGACTTCCAGACACCAAGCCCAGACAGAGGAAAGGCTGCAAACCTTTGGGGGCCACTCAGGCTCAGACACAAAGGCACCAACACTGACTCTGAGATGTCTAACACATGATTTGGAGTACCATTCAATCATGCTTGGGAAAGGAGAGGTGTGGTCATCAGAATGTCACCCCTTACTCCCCAGACCTGTGAGTATGTTTTTTATGGGCAAAAGGGACATTGTAAACATATTTAACCTTATAAACCTTACAATAGGGAGATTAGCCTGGATTATTCATATGGGCCTAATCTAATCACACGAGCCCTCAAAAGTATAGGGTATTCTCCAGCTGGAAGCATGAGAGAAAGAGAGATGTGGCAGAAGGAGAGAGCAGAGGGATTTGCGGTGAGAAACAATGGATTCTCTATTGATAGAGGGCACTGCAGATAAAGCATAGGAAGAAAAGGGGCAGCCTCCAGGAGCAAAGACTGGCTGGGTGCTTTTTAAAATGGCTACATTTGTGGTAATTTGCTATGATAGCAATCAAAACTACCACAGGAGGAGAGAGGGAAGATTTCAGAGGAGAAATGCATTTGAGTTGGGCCTCAAAGAATGAGTAGACATTTTCCAGCAAAAAGCAGAAAAAAACCATCACAAGCAAAGGCCTGAAAAATGACAGAAGTGTTTTGAGAAAGGCAAACCAGCTGAGTGGGACTTTGGAGAGAATGGGTCCTGGCACATGCTAAGCTCACAGTTGATGGGATGGTAGTCATTCTTATCACTGTCATTACCATCTTCCTAACATTTTATAATAAGAAAATACTCCCCCTGATGAACAGGAATGCACATTAGAGTCAAGCCAGTAAGGGTTTCTGTATATTGCATCAAAGAATTTCAACTTTATGTTCCAGGTAGTAAAAAGCAACAGTGATTTCTAGGTAGAAAAGTGACATTCTTCTGAAGTACAACAGAAACTGCAGAGTAGAGATGCATCTGAGAGGAGGGAGTAAGGAGAGGGACCCCTGTTGGAGTGCACTGCACTCCTTCTGTTTCCTTTAGCGCAGTCTAAAGGAGAAATGCCAAGAGGCTGTGAGCAAGGCTCCCCTCCGGTCACTGCAGCAAATCCCAGCACTCCCAGCATGTGCTGTGTCCACATAGCAGTGGTGCTCCACAATCACCACTCTCTTCTGTCTCTTCTCAGTGAAGAGAGGGGTGGAGAGAGAGTTGCCTGCTGTCCTGGCCTTTTGGCCTTTTGGCCTTTCCTGAGCTCTCTGCAGAAACACTCATACCACCTGTGCAGGGTGCAAGGGGACAGGGTAGCAGCAGCAGGCACACATGAGCCTGGGCTGTACTGAGTTCTCCTCCATGATGCTGCCTCTGAACTGTAGGGCCAGCAGCGCCATAGTGGGGAGGGGCCCTGAAGATCTATGGTCTCCTTAGAATGGAGGACAGCCAGCCTGGGGGTGCTGGGAAATGCAAATGGACCAAGAAAACACTCAGATAATGGGGAGAAGGCCCTTCATGGAGACCCATTCTTGGGGGTAGGGACAGAGCATTGACAGTTCTGTCAGAAGCATTAGAGTTCTGCTTTTTGCTTTTGTTTTTTAATCCAGTAGAGGGAAAAATTCGAACGGGGCTTGTATCTAAAAAGTACCAGGAATGTTAGACCTTTATAAGAATTTGGAACATGTGTTCCATGTCTGTTCTTTTTGTTATCTTGCCCTGAAATGGTTAGCATTAAAACCCTTACCAAAAAAAGAAAAAAAAAAGTCATTGAAACCTCCAGTGGTTTGGGAGATAGTCCCTCACTGTAAGAAGAGGCTGTGGAAGGAGAAGTCTGAGACACACATTAAGGTGTGGCTGAAAGGGAGGGGCAACAAAGGAAAAGCCAGCAAAGGAGTGGGCACGAGACAAGCATGTCCTCTGTGGAAGTAGTCACTCTCCCTAAGAAAGGGGTGATTTGAACCCGCTTTGAAAGCTATGGGTAGCTAGCTGCTAAGACAGCAGAGAGGAGAGCACCATGGGGTCAGCTGAGCTGGCCTTTATACAAAGGAAAATTAAAACCAGTGTTCTAGAGAAGAGAAGCCTCTTAGTAGTCTCTTCTCTCTCTTTAGTACCTTCCACCGTGCTTTATGCCACATAGGAGAGAACAGGATGGTGAATGAGCTGTACGGCTCACTCGGACATCTTTTCCTTGAGAGAGAGTCAATCAGTGTATTTTAGTACTGCAATGAGTAGGTGTGATACCCTACAAAATATGTTTTTGAATTATGACAAGAAATATATTAACTTATCACTTATGGAGATTTTACAAACTGAGATCACTTACCAAATTGGCTCAATTAGACCTTATTTAACTGACCAATAGTTTAAATAGACTTTTTAAAATAGTAAGCTGATATATTTAAAACAAAATTTATCTAAATTTGAGTCAGAAAATAATCAAAGGTGGAAGATGCTTGCTTGTTTTTTTTTGTCTGTGAAATGTATACTTTCCAATAACAATAAATGATTTACTATATATTAATTTGAACCTCAGAGGACTGAAATTATTTTACTAAAGGTAGAAAAAAAAGAAAACACCAATTAACTCAAAAAAAGTTCTCTCCATTTTATGTAATATTTCAAATGCAACAAAACCATGAGACAAAAAGCCTTGTGGTCCACTTAGGAAGGCGGATACCTCATTGGAGACATGCACACAAGAGGTCCAGACTCTTGGGATTTTTCATGTAAAAAACTACTATATATCTTCTTCGTACCATGCCCTGTGTGAGGTGAGAGACCCTAACAGGTGAATAAGAAAAGACCCTTAAGGGGTCTAACAGGTGAGAGTTTCAAGTAATCAACAAGCATATTAAAAAAAAAAATACTGCATAATGAAACTTAAGCACATTTTTAAATACAGGCCAGCAATAAAATCTCTTTTTTTAGTTATAAACAATGCCATATGAAAAGCTCCCTCTATCAAAATCTAGGAGATTATAATGACTTTGTAGAATGAAATACTAAATGAGGAGAAGTCTCTTTTTAAGGGGAGAGGAATATTTTATGAGAGACTAATTCTGATCAATGTCAATGGTTCTAATGATTTAGCTTCAACTGGCTTTAAAAAGTTGTGTTTGAAAACTGTCCCTTCTCTTCCCATTAGAAAAAGTGAAAAAAACACACCACATCAACAGAACATTGTGTTCTGATGATGAATACCATGGACTCATTCAGCATCATGAGTCCATGATGGCTCATTCATGGACACACGTTCCATGACCATTTATCATATCTGAGCCACAGTGTGCATATTCTGGTAGATGCCAAGAATCAAATGCTGTTTAGCAGAGAGAGCATGGTAGCCGTGTGAAATGTAACATGCCATTTCCTAAGTGTGGAGCTTGTGCTGTGGAAGTTAGGAGAACAGAGACAAAACCAACTACTTGAAGAAGGGAGTGACAGAGGCAGAATGGAAAAGTAGTAGAAAAAAAATATCCAGGGCATGTCATGGAGAAGAGCATCTGGCTGAGGTCTTGAAGGAGGCTAAGCTGGGGATGAAGAAGAAAGGGATTCTGGAAAGAGAGAATCCAAGGCAAAGAGATGATAATGTACACAGTGGTTTTGGGAAGCACACAGGAAGAATGGAGAAAACACAAGAAGTAAGGTCAACTGAATGCTGAGTTGGTTTTTCAAGAGTTAATGACAAATTTGTTTGAATCAATATCCTGTCTTCTCAAGTCCCTTATGGCCTGTGCTGTGCATTTGGGAAAGGACTTCGTGAGGGCAGAGATCTAAGTGTGTGCCCTTGATTTTAGTGAAGGAAACCTACCTTGAGAGAAGCCTAACCCAATATCATTAATAATTGACAGAAGCGGAGGGCTCTTGGGTGCTTTGGACATTTATGGCTACCTTGCAGCTGTTTCAGGACACAGCTTGTGTGAGGTAGGTCTCAAGCACCAACACTATTTTTCACGATTTCTACTTCAGAGTGCGTGAACACTTGTAATGGAAACAAAACAATAATCTTGAAAGGAACTTGAACGTATATTGGATAATAAGAGCTTAGTGTAAATTAGTTTGGATGCTTTTGACTTATAGTTTTACATTTACATAGTTTTCATTTAAAAGTGAAGCAATGTGTAGAAAATTTCCAAAAACATTATGAGAAGATTTTCTTTTCCCCAAGGGAATTAAAGGAGTTATTAAAATGTGTTAAATCTTAGAAACTAAACATTTTAAACAAATATGTCCCCAAAAGATGCTAATCTTTTTCTATCAGCTAAAATTTAAATCTTAAAACAGATGGAAGTGGTGTTGGTGAAACACAAGACTGAAATGCCCTGTAGAGGATGACAGATGATGACTTGCATCTCTTAAATACTTTAAATATTAAATATGAATACTTCATATTTTGAAGAGTCTGTCTCATATCTACTGTAATTAGAATCAATGAGTTTAATATAGCTTTTCTTCCTGTTCTATAACCTGGGCAGGCACAAATAGAAAACATCTCATGCAGAATATATCACAAAGGGGTTTTCATTTTTTTTCTAGAATCTCTCACCAGATTAGCACTTTATTGATACTCATTCTCTAGCTGATCTTATTTTTTAGTAAGAGGAATGATGTCAAGTCTGCAGCTCTGATACGTTGGAAGGAATTGTGACTTTCTGACACTTCATGAAGTTCCAATACCAATTGGTCAACTTGAAAAATATCAAAGGCTAGTAACCACAATACATGCAACACAATCAAAGACTAATTCTTGAATATAGAAACAATTCAGGAAAGCAAAGAGGTTATGCACACATAAATTAACAGCATGATTTACATTGTACCACTGGTCTGAGGATAAACTAAGTGAATATGAGAACAGTTTGAGCATTCATGAATCAACCACTAGGTTAAAATTGCGTACAACCACTGAATATAAGGAAAATCTACCTAAGGTTTTATAGGAAGGTCAATAACACCATCATCCCAAAGACAGTCATTGGTGGCACAGATCCCTCTTGGTGACCTGCAGAGCCCCCAAGGGAACCACCCTGACATCCCTTATGGGACAGAAAATATGGACCTCAGAAAGAAAATGTCAGTGCAAATTCCTGTGGTCAGTTTAGTGTCCTCTTTCAGCCAAGGACAGGTGCAGCCCTCTGAGGGCCAGGGCTCCCATCTATAACACAGATGGACTTCCCTGAGGCTGTTGATGGCCACTCTAACAAACAACCCTGAAAGATATCACTGAAAGTGAATGAATGAATAATTATAATTACAAATTCTTGAAGGTGTTGGCCAGGTGCATAGTGCCATTTATTTTTTGCATGAAGTTTGTGATTCTTTTCTCACTTTCCCTTAACTCATCCACATTACATGATATAAGCTTTTGGGGGGATTCACTTCCATCTGAAAATTATCATTAAAGTCTTAGATGTGGGTCAGCAGTAATTTTTAATCCTTATTTTTAAGAATATCAAATATGAGTTTAAAACTATTATCTGTAAATTTGCATATCAAATTCAGACCTTAGCAGCTGATCTACAGTTATAGATTTTTTGAATATGAACATATAAAGGCTTTAACAAAGCTGCTGGGAAAACACAGAAACAAATATTTAGGAAAACAATAAAAATGGCCTTGGGAATAAAATATAATTTTTCTCTGCATCTGATTTACCATACAATATCTGATGTAAAATATTTTTCACATTCTGCTACTTTTCTCTGTGCATGTTAGAGGTGTTTCTGTTTTTGCTTTAAACTTTAAGCTTCACACTCAAGGTACCACAATAATTTGGCTGTCTAAACCATCTCATTTAGAAGAAAGGAAACAAATTTACAATCTGTTTAAATTATGAGGGAATTTGGAAAAACAGCATTGTATGTGTATGTGTGTCTGTATATCGGTGTGATGGAAACAATAATGATGTGATGAATTCCAGTTTCCTTGGAAACAGCATGACCAAAGCATATTGTGTATTCATAGTAGGATGCAGACTTATTTAGCAACATAACAGTGTGCTACTAAGTATATTTTCCAGTAAGAAATTCAGGATAATTTTGCCTGTGGAAGCTTGATTTCTCTCACAGATCCTGGGTTTCTCTGACCAACTCTATTTATGTTTTGCTGAAAGGATGGGAGCCATTTACATTTATTTAACTGCCTGCATTCATTCATGAGTGTTTGTGAACCTATTCTGAGCCACCAGTGGTCTATGGACACAGTGAATGCTCTAAAGGAGCTTCTGCATTCCTCTAAGGAACAGACCCATGACATGCACTAAGACACTAAGAGCATGGGAAAAAGCAAGGAAAGACCACAGTCTTGAGAAATGAGTAAGTTTAGCAAGAAGAATTAAGTCATAAAGACATGCAGGAGCAACTGCAGCATGTACACAGGGAGAAATACATTTTTGATAACTTGATGGGGTGCAAGAGGTAAAATGATAAAGAAAAAAATACATAGAAACTATAACATGCTTTCATTAAAGTACTGTTTATAATTCCAATGACATATTGTTTTTATTTAAAAAATGAATGACATGAAATTGCAAAACTACTTTGTAACCAGAAGGATGTAAGGATGATAGGCTGGAGGGGGTGAACCCAATTTATGGTCTCTTTTGGAGTGTACAGCCCAAGGACTTCCTAAAACAATGCACCGTCCTTGGCTACTGTTATCTGTGCCAGGCTCTGACTTTTGTGAACACACCTGCCAAGAGCCCTTGTACAGAGCACTGCTCCTCCCTCGCACTAAGGACCTTGGACTAGGGGACTATGCCAGATAGTGGGTAGATGAGAGAGGGGTCTGCCCTCTCAAAAAGAACAGTGACATGTTGGACAATATCATTTGTAATTTTATCACTAAAAGAATATTGCAACATTTTGGAAACATGCTTTTGCCTGTCAAGTTCAGAGCCAACATCCCACATGGTATTCACATGTTCTGTTCTTTTCAGAGGAAACTGGAAGCTTGTGGCTTCTCCAGTTTCTTCACTAATTTTGGTTTTATCTAAAACTTGGTGACTTTCAGGAGGCCACATTGCAGGTTATGACCAAAAGCCCACACAACTCCCACTTAAAGATCAGGTAAGTAACTTTGGTGACTGATGAGTGGTACGGGGCAGAGTGGGTCTGTGAAAGACATGAGGGTGAGTGGTCAGGCTGGTGGAGGGCCTACCCGGTTGCTTTCACTCTTGGAACGGTCATTCTTTGCCTTGGCTGTCTTTTCTGCAAGCTTCTTCTGCCTCTGTGGGCCTCTTCCAAAGAAAATGTAGTTGACAAAGGCATACTCCAGAAGGGCCAGAAACACAAAGACAAAGCAGCCCATGAGGTACATGTCAATGGCTTTGACGTAGGGGATTTTGGGCAATGTCTCCCGAAGGTGTGTGTTGATGGTTGTCATCGTCAGCACGGTCGTGATCCCTACAAAAGAAACAGAAGGGTGAGAGGCTGCAGCTTTGCAGTTCCATTCCTCACGTTTCACTTTTATATTTTCTCAAACAGCTCTAAATAGTTGGAGATAGTAGACTGAATATTATTAGGTGATCAGAAGGCAACAGAGCCTGAAACATGTATGGGCAGCAGGTCACAGCTCAGGTCAGGAAGCTGACATCTCTGTTCCCTGTGGGGCACCACTCCATGGCACCTGGCTCAGAGAGAGAATGGAGAAAACTGAGGAGAATGTGCTTTTTAAGAAAGCTGGAAAAAATGAAAATGATCCCAGAAATTAATATAAAGCACAGTGTGTCTGGATGAGAAGCTTCCAAGAAGAATGAATCTATGAAGACTCAAAGAAGAGGGTCATCTATGGCCATTAATGAGGGCTCAGTGAGTCTGCTCATCAGAAGAAAACAATTCTTACCACAGTACTCTATGAAAAAGGGGAATGAGGCAATGATTTTTAAAATTGAGAGCGGACATGATTCAGTCCTGAGCTCAAAAAGAAAGGAGAATTTCAGGGAAGTTATCAAGGACAGATGATCTCACAGAGTCCTTTCCCTCCTCAACTAAGAGTCTATACAAGCTTTTCAGAACATGCATGATGAAGGGCTAACAATTTTATTCAAACTATAGAATCTTGCCATACTCTGGGGGAATAGACTAGATACTGCCCAACTTTTTTTAAAATGTCATAATGTTGAGTTCTCTAGATAGTAGTATATGAATACTTTCTGTTTCCATAACAGAGCTAAGTCCAGTCTCTAAAAACATTGTAAGGACCATATTTTGCAATTATACCATAGTAATGGACTTTTTTTTTCCAATACAAATATCCCATATTGGATAATCTGAAGCCACAGAGAGGAGGGAACATGGCAGTGACATGACTAGAGTTTGATGAACTGAGTGAAGTCACACATGCAGGAAATATATGGATTGCTCACTTCTTGGTGGATAGTAAATATTACAACAGACTTGCTCTCCCTTAAAATATTAAGAAGTTTCAAGGAAGCAAGACCACTCCAAAGGGTCATCTCTTTTCTATCTGTTCAACTGGTGCACTGAATGCAATTATCCCTGTGTCTTCTAGGACCCAGTGGAGAGAAACACTTCCTCCTCATTGCTATGTCAGGTCTTCCTTCAAAAAGGAGACTTCTGAAAGTGAGAGCTTTAGCCATGATCCCTCAGTCACAGCAACCTGAAAAATATGATGTCACTGAGGCCAGGGGACAGGGCAGGACAGAGAGGTCAGTGTTCCCAAGATATAGGGCAGAGCTCAGACTGCCTCTACATATGATTCCACCAAAGGCACTTCTCTAAGGCCCCAGATCCCACCCAACTCTCCAGTGAGGATTTGTATTTATAAAGCATCTTAGTTTGATGTCCTCCAGATTCCCATCCCATCGTTGGAGGTAAGCATCCTTAGACTCTGTGTCTCACAGAGACAACCTCCAGACCATAGATCTCTACTTGCTCAGACCATCTGGAGGGCAAGGAATAAAGCCCAGTCTTCTGTCACTAGCACATGCTTTCCTTCCACCCACATCTAAACTGCTATGAAAAGTAGAGGAAGGAATTGAGGCACTGAGAAACTATTTTTGTGTGTACTGCAAACCATGAGAGCTTATGGAATATATGGAAATTGAATATGTCAGAATATTTTAAGGTTCCCCTTTAAAGTCACATTAATGTGCACCTGGGGACTTTTAAAATTTGAAAAATGGCAATGGGATGATTACAGTTTACAAATAAATGTGAAACCATGCAAACTGTCCAAAATTAGATGTTTTCACCATTATTCAAAAATTTTGTAATTTTGCTGTCACAACTTTTTTCCCTTCCAAACATATTTGGAAAACATGAATGCTTTGGTTCTCTCCAGTTGGCTCTTGTGGCTTTCTAGTTGACTATTTTGAGTGGACATGCATGACACAGGCTTCAGTGGATGTCCTGGGAAATGGGCTGAAAGAACACAGGGATAGGAAGAGCCAGCACATGTCACAGGCACTCAGCCTGGGAAAAGCAGCCCTGAGGAAAATGGGACAGCAACCTGGCTCAGGCACCTAAACTCAGGCTCGAGGAGTCTCTTAATAGTATGGTTTTGGGATGAGTGCTCTGTTTGGGCTCATATTAGCTCTTAGTTTAAAAGGCCAGTGAATTTATTAATTCTTTGTATAATTTTGCTTTCTATCTAGATATTGTGGGTGGTGGTGGACAATAATGATTCATAGACTTGGATGGTCCAGCCACAGGGCCCAGGCCAAAAGCTTAGCTCTATCGCTTCCCAGCAGCATGGCCTGAGACTTGATGGGTCCACACCACTGTCTAGAGCTGTTGTGAACTTTAAATGTGATGCCTGAAAACCACTGGTGATATGTTAACAAATGGTAACGACAAATAATGGTATTTATTATTATCATTAAAGAAAGAGAAATTATTCAGGAGCTTCTGGTTTTCTGGCAAGAGACCTACAGCCACAACCTTGCTTTGAACTTCTGCTCTCTAAGGGGACCTATCCAACTGCAGTATGGTGCTTTCCATGTTCTTTGTACACTGATCAAGCTGTTCAGTCCTTCTACTAATTGTTAGTCTCAAATTATTTCTCATTTAGATTATGCTAATAAAATATTATATTTGAAAAACCGCATTTATAAAGTTATGAAATAAAAATATAATTTGCATCATTTAATCAAAAGATATTTTATTTCTCTTCTTTGTGATCAAAATTATGTGGACTGAATTATTTTAGTCTAAATTTTCCCTTTTAAAAGGACCAGTACTATTCACTTCAGGGTTTTGAGGAAGACCATCCAGTTGTTCTTCTTCTTCTTCTTCTTTTTTTTTTTTTTTAGATTTTATTTATTTATTTGACAGAGAGAGACACAGTGAGAGAAGAGAGAGAACACAAGCAGGGGGAGTGGGAAAGGGAGAAGCAGGCTTCCCATGGAGCAGGGGACCCGATTCGGGGCTCAATCCCAGGATTTTGGGATTATGACCTGAGCCAAACGACTGAGTCACCCAGGCGCCTGAAGGAAGCCCATCCAAATCCCTACTTTGCAGCCTGATGACTTGTAACACTAGCAATTCAACAGATCTGCGAGTCAGCCCCTGATCAGTAGAAACATAAAACTCCGAGGTGTACAGAACAGCAGTGCAACACAGCTTTGCAAAGGACCAGCATTTCCCTTCTCAATAGAGAGAGAACTCCAGACAACTGCATGTCCAACATAGCCCTGAGCCAGAGAGGGCATTCCGTGGATATCTTTGTTGAACACCCCTCTGCACGGATCTGTAACTCTAAGACTCATTTAGAAATGAGGTACATTCATCATGGTGCAGCCGTTCAGGATGCTGGTAACAGCACTCAAAACAATTAAAAGGTGAGGTACAAGACAAGACAGGTGGAATGGAACTGTGGGAGGAGGATTTTCTCCAATTAAAGTCCCCCAAACCATGGCCATATCTTCTTAAAAAGGCACAGAGCACATTAGCATTTTAAAGATTCTGAGGGATCTCGCAATAATAATAATTAATAATAGTTCTTGCTTTGCTTTTTTTTTCTTTTTAATCATTGTTTTTTACAATGTAACAGACAAGAACACTCTGTGTGTACTGTCTATTAATACCATAGGAATCACCTGTAGTGGTTAGGGGGGAGAACCCTGGAGTCAGACTAACAGGATTAATGTCATATGACTTTGTACCAGTTATGTAGCTTCTCTGTACCTAATTTTCCTGCTCTGTAAAATGGGAACAATAACATTGCTTATTGTGCTATGGATGTTCTGCAGAGCAGATAAGGTAACCCCATTAATGGCCTTGCAGAGAACCTGGCACCTGAGTATTTGGCAAATTTCAACTTAATGATTATTGTGTTGTTCTTCAGTGTTCATGACTCTATGATATACTTTCCTTAAATTATTAGAGGTGACCTTGTGGTATGTCCCAATCCCTGCAGACCCAGGCTCAGAAACCCTGTTCTCCATAGGCAGAAGGTGGGACATAGGGAGTGAGCATGCTGGTATCCTACCCTGAGAGCAGGACCTGTTGGACTGTAGTCTGCTCAGACGCTGTGTCCCTAGGGTCACACTTGCCTTCCAGACCCCCAGGCCTCAGGTTCATCCTGACACTGGCAAATGCCCATTCACTTCTGTCTCTGTACTCACATCCGCCTCCCAGACTTGTGACATCAGTCAGAACCTGGCACTCTTCCAGTGGTGAAGCCTTAGCAACTCTGGGCAGACCATTCCTTTGTCCTAGCAAAGCCGTAACAGGATGATTTAGGTTTATAATCATAATGCTGTTCTGTTAGAAAAAGTGGAATCTACTTTCACTTACTGTAATGAGGCTGGGTTGACAATAGCTCACTTCAGATAGATTATTTAATATTGTGGAAGACAGTGTCTTACCATTAAGGAGCTATAGAGCGTGTATATCTAGAAAACTTAGAAATTCACATTTTCAGTACACCTCAGTCCTATTGATGCCAGATAATTAGTTCTCTGGTACTTATATTTCCCTAATTATCTCAATAATGACAAATTCTCCAAGGCCAATTCAATGTGAAACTCAAGAAGCTTTAGCTTTAGGTTTCTACTTGCATTGTCCCCATCCAGGCTTTGGGTGGGATCCTGTAATTTTATGTTTGTCTATTTTATATTCTCTTTCCTAAAGAGAGACTCTGAAATTGTATAAGCTAACAGGTCTACAAAATTTAGATCTGTCCCTCCAAACACATTTTAGGTCTGACTTTTCCGGGGAGAGGAAAAGAAAATAATTTAACAAAGAGTAATCTAGTAGCATTAAAAAAAAAAAAAAAAAGGAGGAGGGGGAACTTACAGAAAGGACTATTGCTACAGGATAAACCTCTGCAGGCCATTGAAAAATCCTGGAGATCTTCTGAAGGGATGTTTTTCTTATCATACCCATTAAGAATACATAATAATATAACGCTTTTAGTTTTCTGATACTTTCTTCTTCTCAAACTAGGTTATTATTCACCTAACACTTTTGGGATTAGTTACCTGATTTCCTATGTGTTAATCTAATCTCAACTGTAACTCTGTGAGTCTAAACCAGACATCCACATACACACATGCACACACATTTTCCTAGGGAAAACAGTGTCAATCAATTGGAAGTCCTGGAAAAAGATGAAAGAACAAAAACAAACAAACAAACAAAAAAAAAAACAAGGAAGAAAGAGGGATAACTGGAACCCTGAATTCTTATGGTACTCTGTAAGCTAATTTACCAGCAAATGCATTGATAATTATTTTCTATCAATTTTTAAAAATATTATTTGATAATTTTGCTTTCAGGAATTGAGCCCAACCCTATGAGAGAAAGAATGTAGGGAAAATTGCTCTTCAGCTCTATATTTTCTAAAATGTATTTAAATAATTATTTTGTCCATGCAGCTTCATAATAATTAGCTGAATAGAGAATAATGTTTTTGAAAATATAAGCTTTCCTTTAATAATTTAAAAAATCTTAGAAATATTATTGGAACCTATAAAATATACTGTACATCAGCTAATAATCCAGTTGCCAAATAACCAGTGGCCACTACAGATCACTAGAGCCTTGAGAATCACTCAGAATCTAATCACATATTTAAATGCCCATTAAATTGTGTAATTCCAATTACATGCTATAATATTTGACTATTTTTCTGACTTAAAAAAGATGAATGTCCAATTAATCCAGTCTTCTTTCTGGGCCATAGAACAATTTTGAACAAGAGATGTTAATCCTTGCTTTAAAATTAGTGTCAAAATAGTTTTATTATGCAAATATTTGGCAAGCATATTTTCGCTTTCATGGGCATGAAAATTCACATTGGAGCATTATAATTAAATTAACACATCAAGGGAATCATGCATGAAATTATTGTTTCCAGATAAAAAGTGACTGTATGGGCAAGACTGGTGTCATGATGTCAAAAAATTGTAGTTGAACTATAGCCTCTGAATTTCCTTAATACTGTAATGATACAGTTACTTTACATTTTAGATATCATTTAAAAATAGCACATACCAAGGGCAACTCTAGCCGCAGATGCATCATAATTGATCCAGAAGGACACCCATGAAAGAATCGTAATTAGTATAGAGGGCATGTAAGTCTGGAGAATGAAGTATCCAATGTTTCTCTTCAACCGAAAGCTCAGTGAGAGCCGAGGATAGGCACCTATGGTAAACAGACAAAGATTACACTGGAGAAAAGACATGGCAAGCAAAAGAGTTTGCTTTGACCTCCATGATTCAACAACATGCATTTGAAAAGCCCATGAACCACGAGGTGGCCCATGCAATTTGCTTCTATAGAAGAATTGGGAGGGAAGTCTGTTTTAGTCTATAAGAGAATAATGAGGATATTCTTCTAAAGCCAAGCATTCAGCTGAGAACTATCCCTGGGAAAACTTTGGGGAAGTTTTTAGTTTAGAATACAGAATCATGCCATGTATCTTGTTGATTATTTAATTAATGACTATTCTCTTCTCCATTTAAATAGGTGAGATTTGGCTCAAGGTTTTATTGGGAAAAATGGCTTTTACCAGTTGTTCCCTCCATCCACCTAGAGCAACACCATACACAGATACTTAAATTACTGATCCTCATCTAAAGACAACTCCGGGCTACCCTGAGAGCTGGAGAGTCACAGAAGAAGGTCCAGTCTTATAGAAGGTAACAGTCTACACTGAGATGCTCTCCTCTGACCACAGACAAGGCATTAAGGAGGGCCTCTGAGAAGCACCTTGCCCACTTTCTTGTAAGTGAATTCTAGTGCTAATCTGATCTATGAGTCCTACTTAGTACACTTTTGGAACTCCACCATCACAGAGTAAGAAAATTGCCCACTGATTGTACTGCATTTTGTCTTAAATTTGCCTTCTCTGTTTTATTTTGCTTTTCTTAGAACAAAGCAAGGGTAGGCTCCATTTCCTCCTGTCCACTTTATCAGAACCAAACCTCCTAGCTCCTGATCTAAATTCTAATGAAGCTGCTGGCAGGTCAACCAGTGAAAACCCAATGACCTTCTCTAATCACCAACTTCCTTGCCTCTTTCCCTCCCATACTCACTGATGGATGGTCCTCCTTTCCTGAGATTGCTGTACCTTGTTTCTCATGACCTCCTTCTACTCCAAGGCTGACAAGCTCCTATTCTCCTCCTGCACCCAAGTATATGCATCTTCCAGATTTCATTCCATGTCTTCTGTTTTTGTCACCATATTCTTTTCTTTAGATGCCTGATTTACTCATATGACTATTAATTCTATGTCAAAGATGAAGACTTTTATCTCCAGGCTTCTACTTTGGCATCAACTATTTTCAGCCAGAATTATATAAAGGAGAAAAGAAGTCATCTAAGAGACTTAGCACCTAAAGGCTGATGATTTGTAAAGTTTCCTCCAGTCGTTTTTGTGTGCTTGTAGAATTTCTTTTACATAGCTCTCTGATCAAATGCATATTGCATACTGTCATCAGAGCACAAACATTTTCATACTTATTTCAAATTATTTGTAAATACAATTTAAAAATCTTCCAAATTTTGCTTCAAATATATACATATGTACTCTAGTTTATAAATACATTTTCCTGAATGCTACAAATTTAGGTTATTTCCATTTTTACAAAACTATAAATAATATTCTTAAGATTATCCCTGTGTAGAGTCCTTTTTCTGTATTTGGACTTACTTCCTTAGGATGGATATGCCAAAAGAGGAATTGCTGGGCCAATGTTTAGGCTTCTGACACTTACTGCCAAATTACTTTGCCAAAGAATCATATCAGTTTACACACTACTATAAGAACTTTATAAAACTGTCTATTTCACCTTGTAAACACTACAATGTTCCATAATATTTCTTAAAAATAACTTTTGCTAATTTCTTTGGGAAAAATTGTCCTTTCCAATCACTTTCTTTAACTGCATACTTCCTAAATGTCTTTCCTCTGCTTTTAAGCTCATAAATAATCTGATTATACTATTTATTCATTTTTCTCATTTTTTTGTTCCTCTTATTGTTTTCACTTATTCATTTAAGTTCTTTTGATACCAGCCTTTGTGTTTATTGTCTACAAGCATTTTCTCAGTTGTTTGCTTTAAAACTTATAATGGATTTGAGTGGGGGACATATAAATACTTTAATTTTTTATATATAGAATTTATCCATTCCACTTTTTTCCTTGTTATTTTAAAAACTTGTTGTTAAGGCTTAGGTAAGTTCACAATAGAAGCTTAACCACAAACCTACTTTTAAGGTTGGAATTTTTTCAGTGTTCGGTATGAAGTGTACATGTACATTGATTTTTATTCCACAAACAGCCTACCAATCCTCCCAATTCCATCAATGGAATAAAGCTTCCATTGACACAGGTTTGATAGATTCTATTATTGTTATAAAACAATGTATATATGGCTCATTGGCATAATGTGCCATTGAGCTGGCTCAGAACCTCATTGTAGGCTTTCCCATCTCCAAATCCTTGGCCCTAAGCTATATCCACACATTCCTGAAGCACAGCCTGGAACTCGCTGTCAACCCATACTCCAAATCTTCTATAATTCACTGCTTTCTATGAAGGTCCAAACACGCATGTGGGAATTTATTTTCTCCAAAATGTTTCCCAGATTAACTTCAGCTTCCACTATATCTCTTCATTAAGCAGATGATTTTCTAGCCCAAAGAATGTCCTCACTGCCTCAAAATAATTGTCCATATTTCCTGCCCCTTCTGATTCACACACACTTTTCCCTCCTTATGAAATGCCCTTCCTTCTCCATACTCCAAAGTCTTGGTCAAATGCCGTATCTTCTATGAGTCCTTTCTTCTTTCCTCCAAATGAAAGTCATTACCTTCCTGAGTCATTTTCTTTTTCATTAAAATTATTACTATTTAGCAAGGTAAGATCTTCCTTAATCAGTTGTACAGTCCCCAAGGCAGAGTTTGTGAATTGATGTATTTTTCATATACTGTGATGCTTATGTAAATTTCTGAACTATCATAGGTTACCAACAAATACATTTGTATGCATGAAAATAGAAGCCTTTGGTTTATTTGCATGACTTTCTAGCAAGTGTAATACTCAAAACATTCAATACCTTTATTGAATCTTAGTTTGAAATGTCATAGCAACTTCAATATCTTTATTGAAGTAACTTCAGTGTTGGCTCTTAGTTTTCAATTTCATGACAATCTCATGCTTTACTTATCACTTGTCATTTGCTTCTCTTGTTTCAGATATGTCTCACTATAGCCACTATAATTAAACAATAGTTTCCGTATCCATTATGATAGGTTGGCTTCTGTTGCAGTAACAAAAGGATCCCCAGATCTCTGTAGCAGACAATAAGGATTTTTTTCTTGTGTTACATATCTGCTTAGTTCTGTATCTGGAGCACTGCTGGATATTGTGAGAGAAGTGTTACACTCAACGGGCCTCACATTTCCTTGCCTTACAGTAATCTTTATGTCACTGGAGAACAGTTTAGTCCCCTCCCAGGGGAGAGCAGCAAATATTTTTTGAGTAAAAATTTAATCTACCATGTTCCTCAACTTTCCATTTTCAAGTCAACTTTCTTGATATTTCCCGAAGTATACTGTCTTCAGGAAAACCATTCCCATCAGAGGCAAATATCTATACCTAAGTAATGAAGTATGACTGAGGCTGTTGGGAATTCTTGTCCTCTATAACATGGAGGCCAATGACATGAATACATAGTCAAACATTCAGAAGATCTCAAGGAAAGAAATACTAATCTGATTTCCAAAAAACCTGAATCTCTGAAAATTTGCCAAGATATAACACAGAACTTAGAATAACACAGAATTCATAATCTCTGAAAATTTGCCAAGATATAACACAGAACTTAGAATAACACAGAATTCACAATACTGAACTTAGAAAATTAAGAAACATACCATTTTCTTATGTATTTGTTCAGTAAATATATTCTACTTATTGAAATTGAAGTGTCACTTCAAATCAAAACAACTTTTAGGCATTCACCATATGCCCCATCCATTCTAGTTTCATAATTCTAGACTTGGGAATGGTGAATAGAATAGACAACACAGATGAAAAAGAAGAGAGTCTACATTCTCAACTAGCCCCAATTAATTCATGTCAGGCCCATACAGACTGACCTTGGTAAAACAGAGGTAGGAACCATGGTGGAGATACAAAAATATTTTAGAGCATGAGATTTGGTCATACAAGAGAGGTTTCATGGCATCTGAAGTGAGACACTATTCCTGGTTGAATAATTTTCTTTTTTTTCAAGCAAGGAAGCAGAAAAGCCTTCAAGACTGGGCCAAATGAAGAAAAGCCTTTCAATATGCCATGAGAAAGAGACCTCAGAGTGTTAATAAACACAAGAATTCTCAAAGGTGTTGAGACATGTTCTAGGCCAAGACCTCTGCCATTTGATATGCATCCTAAAGAACACACAGAAGTTTTGTGTAGCTCTATTAGATAAAGTCCTTACACTGCAGGGCAAATGCCATGATGTATGCTGTATCTATGGGAAAATTCCCCACATGATCATAGCTAGTGGTTAATAAAGTTGAGAAGTAGTGAGTCAGCTACATCAAGATATAGCCTTCAAAACAGCAATAGAAGCTTAAAAGTTACAACAGAAAGGCACAGAAGCCCTAAAGCCTGTGTGCCAATGCAGATGTGGTCAGGTTCCCAGTAGGTGCTGAGCCAACAGACAGAGGAACAGTCCCTGAACACAAGTGCATTGTTCCAATTCCTTGGCAAAATTATCTATTGAAGATGCTGATCTCAACCTTTTCTCCCTAGATGCACCTAAAGTTATGCCAAAAACAAGGCTCTGGATATTTAATCTAGCCTAAATTAATATTGCTCTCTAAAGCATTAATATTGCTGAGGAACTCATAAAAAATGTGGACAGAGTATCGTGTCACCTTTGTGGAGAGAGAGATCCACTCAAATGTGTCCATAAAGTAATAAACTATTTTAGCAACTGCAGCAGAGCTGACCTATACACATGTGCCTCTCCCTCTTTAAGGTGGCCACCGTGAGGGGCTCTCCCTCCATTGATTGAGAAGCTTTGTGAGCTCTCAGTGATGCTCTTGGGTTTTCATCAGCATGGTCTTTCTCAACATGCTGTCTCATTCATTTATAATCTACTTTTTCATGTTATAATTCAAAATAGAGT